TCCTTTCTTTCTTTCTTTCTTTCTTTCTTTCTTTCTTTCTTTCTTTCTTTCTTTCTTTCTTCTTTCTTTCTTTCTTTCTTTCTTTTCTTTCATAGTGATTCTATCTGGCCTGAAGGACAACTTTTATTCTTTTCTTGGGCAAGTTTCTTAACCTTTCTGGGCCTCAGGCTCTAATCTGTAAGATGTGATTGATAATAAATTGTTCTCTTAGAATTGTTCACTCATTTATTAATTTAATATTAAATATTCAGCATATATTTGAGCACCTACTATATGCCAGGCACTGTGCTAGACATTGTGAAAATTAAATGAGATGCTTCAGGGGGAGAACTGTGCCTGGCATATAGTGGGTGATTAGCACATTTTGGTTTCATTCCAACCTTCAACATCTATGCCTCATTATTCTGATTTTCACTTCCTGGATATGTCCAGCCTTTTCTCCTTTTTCTTTATATTCTCCAGATGTGTTTCTCATTTTCTTACCACCAAGAACTTCCTCTTTAACACATTTAAATTCCTTGTAAATGAATGCCTTCAATCAAGGGCATAACCTCTCTCTCTCTTTCCATCCTTCTATCTCCTTCTGCTGCAGTCTTGGCTTTTTCAGACTGCTTTCTCACTCTTCATACATCCAATATGTATTCCTGAATGCTTAGCTTTCAGTCCTGCCCTTATGTTTCAACCCGAATTCATCAGCTAATGGATGACTCTGAACATATGACGTTGGGCATGGAGGTCTCTGGGGAAGCAGATGTGCACGATGAATAATTGAGTTCAAGGTTTTTCCAAATGTGATTTACGGGATTCTTCATCAACGCCACAGCCTCCTGCCAGCCGGAGGGTGTGGCCAGGACTGCAGAATTAGTGTCTTTTGCCAAGATCCTATATGTAGTAGCCTCAAATCATACTGATGTCTTTCTCCATGAACATAACAACTACTCCCTCGTATGCTCAGGAAAGAACAGCATAGATAGACATCCTCTCTTATTAAGACAAAATCCACACACTGCCCCCAACCCAGGTTTTAATTCTGAAAAGCATTTCTCAATGAGAAGGATAGCTAATCAGTTGGCCCCTACTTCATCTTCCTGAATTCCACCTCCCATTTGGCATTTTTCTCTTGGTTTATTGTTATTGTGACCACACTGGTCCCCCAGGAGTCCGCTACTTCCTTTTAAAGCTCTGGGTCATGCAAGGAGACACAGATCCTTTTCCTTGGTTCATAACCATCAGGAGGTAAAATTTTCACAATATCTTTATGCCGCTACCAAAGGAAGATCAAAAAGAAAAGAAAGGAAGCAAATAAGCAAGAGGCATTAAAAACAAAGCCAAGATGTAGTTTTGCAATTCTGTCATGGCTTTCTTATTTAAAGGACCCTACTTCACTCCCTGAGAACCCTAAGGTTGGCCCAGCATCACAGATTCCTGGCCTGACTTCTTTATCTTCCTATTCCTATTCTACCATGCTGTGGCTGGTGGAACCTTGACATCCACAAGGCAGGAACTACTTCTCCTCACTTCCATAGAGTCAATGCTAATCAAGAGACATTCCAGAATCTCAGGTCTCTGTGGGTGGTCCCACTCAGTTTATGTTTCAGAGTTGGTGGGACTTGCTTTGTCTTTGGATGACTAGCCAGATAGTCAGGGAATGACCCACCATTCAGATACAACTCACTCAAATATTTTGGCTTGTACCTTTGTTCCATATAGCTCTGCCCCTGAAACAACACCTTACCTGTACAGTAAGCATATCATGCTTTATAGTTAGAATTACAAACATATTGAAAATGATTGGATTGAACGGGGGCAGGCTATGCTCTCGTAGCTGGTGAGAATGCTTATTTTTTTTGTGAGTATCAGAATTCCACCAACCTGTCAAAAAAAATCTCTGAGTACCTCAAAAATATTTTTTCCTAATTTGGATTTTCTGTAAAATTTAATTATGCATATTATTTTGGGCAGCAGTTTTATTTTGTTGTATAATCAGAAGCGTTTTGAAACATTAAGAGAATGAGTATTGCTAAAAGACATCAATTTCTTTAATGGACAATATAAGCGCATGACAAATTTGATGTGAAATTTCCAGAAGAAAAATAAATCAATAATAGGTAAATGTACTGTGGGTGAAAGTAAATATGAAGAAATAAGATAATCAATTAATTAAGTATACTCTAAAGAAAAAATGCCTGGAAACTATAGGCTTATTTGGAACGTTAATTTTCCTTCTCTATTGTCCTCACATTCTTTTCCTTGCTATGATTCCGAATATCTCCTGAATTTAAGTATGCCCTGTGTCTGTGTAAATAAACTTTACATTTCCTTAGAAGCCAAGTTGGGTTCCATTTCAATGATAATTTGATTTATAAACCCTTTTCTTCTGCCACTGTACATAAATCATGATGGTTTACACCATGGTGACCGGCTCATCTCTTGGGCTTTACAAAGGACATGTGTCACATGACATTAATACGAGCAGTTTGCTTAGAAAAAGGACACATAATCCATCAGCTTAATATATTGGTATATAATGTAAACTATACATTCAACATCCAGAGTCATATACATACTAATTTGTTTCCCACTACGATATACAGTCAGAAGATAGCATTAAATGTCCTTTGACACTATGGTTTTGAGAAATCTTCCCTATTCAACGATTCATCTGATTTATAACCTATGCACACTAGCCTAGGATTTTTGCATTCAAGTGGCATCTAAGGTATCTATAAAATTATTCACAATCATGAAGTTAACTTTTAATACATATTATATAGATGATATTATAAAATTGAGAAGCATGTCTTTGTTATCATTTTTAATGCTCAGGATGGATTTCACTAGGCAGCCATTTGTGACTTTAGACCTAGCATTCTCAATTAGAAAATAGATGAGTCATAAAGAGGGGATTAAAATTCCCCTCTCAGTCAACCCCACTGCCCTAGCCATCAACCTTAATAGGGATAGATGGGTTAGCAGGTGCTCCCCATAGAAATGCTAATGACAACTTTTCCTGGAAGAAATCAGTTGAGGCACCAGGAGGTAGAATTAATAAACCAGAGGCAAAATACTTGAAAAATGAGAGCAGTCACAAAGAAATCAGAAAGAAAAGGAGCCTTTAATATCTGCCCTATAGTCTTCCATGAAGGTTAGAGAAAGGCCCATCTGACTTGGCATGTGTTGTGCAGACCTGCCTTATGCCTATAATTCAACTTCCCTAATTTCTTGCTGGGTAAGTCTCAGCAACACTTCGGGGTTACTCTTCAATGATGCCTTCCAGGTTTTGCTGTTCAGAACTAATTTTTCTTTTATTTCCTTATTATATTCTGTACACTTCTCATTGTCTGCTCGTTGACTACTTGTGAGATACTTTTGTCCATATCTGCCTTCCCCACCAGATCGTGAACACTTGAAGGACTGTATTTTGTTCACCTCTGTACCTCTCATAGCATAACATTGTGTCCAGGTGCCATATAAGTTTTAGAGTTTGGTGAAAATTATATTCACCTACATATTGATTCATTTCATTCAGTTCTATTTAGTTGAATTTATTTCAGAAAATGACCATCAAGGCCCTGCTATGTATCAGGATGCTGGGAATATCAAATGAATAAGTTATAACCCTTATGTGAGGAAATTGTGTCTTCCTTAATCAAAATAAAGTGCAGTTCCTACTCGGTTAGCACTAGAAGTAAATGTTCAAATGAGGAAGGGCAGCAAACCTTACAAATCTGACTTTAGATGCACCCCCATCCAGGGCAGTGATCCTCAACCTTGGCTGCACATTGGAATCACTGGAGAACTTTTAAAATGCTGATGCATAGGTACCTTGACCACAAATTCTGATTTAATTGGTCTAAAGTGTGGCCTGAGTAATCTGATTTTTTAAAA